AAGGGGGAGGATGGGAAAAAAAAAAAAAAAAAATCCCGGACCCAATTTGTTAAAAAAAAAAAAAACCCAAGATTAAGGTTTTTTTCCCCAATTTTTTTTTAAAGGCTCAAAATCTTTTCTTTTTTGAAAAAAAAAAAAACTGATTTTTTTTTTAAAACCAAATTTTAAAAACGGGGGTTTTTTAAACAAAACCCAAAAAAAAAAAAAAAAAAAACCTCAAGTTTTTTGGTTAAAAAGTAAAAAAAAAAAAACTTTATTTTTTTTTAAAAAAAAAAAAAAAAAAAACCCAAAAAAAGTTTTAGGGGGGGGGGTTCAGGGTTTTTTAATTTTTTAAGGTTTTGGGGGGGGTGGGGGGGGGGGGAACCCCCACTTTTGGAAACTTTTTTTTTAAAATTTTTGGGGTAAAAATTTTTTTTAATTTTTTTTTCTGTTTTAAAAAAGAAAAAACAAAAAAATTTTTTTACCGGAGGTTTTTTAAGAGAGAAAAGGTTAATTTAAATTTCAAAGGGGGAAAATTTGTTTTTTGGGGGGGAAAATAAAAACCCAACCCGCCCACAAAAAAAAAAAGGGGGGTCAGAGTTTTGGTCCCCCCAAATTTAAGGGGCTCCCCATTTCCAAAAAAAAAAAGGTACAGAAAAAGCGGGGGGGTTTTCGTTTAACCCCACTTTTTAATTTTTGGGGGGGAAAAGGGGGTTTTGGTTTTAAAAGGCCCTTTCCCGGATAAAACCGGGCCTCCTTTTCCCCCCCGCTTTGGCATGTCGGAAAAAGTAATTTCCCTTTTTGAAAAAAGGAAAAGAAAATTTACCCTTTGGGAAAAAAACCCCCCAAAAAAAAAAAATTTGGGTGGTTCAAGGTGTTGGAAAACATTGGAAATTTTTTGAAGGTTTTTTCCTTGGTTCCAATTGGGGAAAAAATTTTTTTTTTTTTGGGGCCCCCATTTCCCACTTCTTTTTGGGAGGAAATTTTGGTTTGGTTTGTTTGGGAAAAAAAAGTCTGTGGGGGGGGAATGTTGGGGGCCATTTTTGTAGGGTTTGGGTTTTTAAAACGCTTTGAGTTTTGGTTGGGGGAAAAAAGGGGGGAACTAGGGGGGGAAAAGGGGCGCCGTTTTTATTTAACAAAAAAGTTTTTACCCCAAAAGTCTTCATTTTTTAAACCCCCCAATTTTTATTTAATTTTAACTAAAAAAAAAAAAAAATGCTTTTGTTTAATCAAAAAAATGTTCTTTTTAAACTTAAAAAAAAAGGTTTTTGTGTTTACTTAAAACAAATTTTTCCAAAATTGGTAAATTTTTTCTTTGTTTTTAAAAACCCAAAAAATTTCCTTTTTTTTTTTGGGGGAAAGGGTTTTAAAAAAAAAATTTTTTTTAAACTCCTTAACACAAGGTGTTTTAAGGGGGACTTTTTTAGTTTCAAAAGGGGAAAAAATTTGGGGGTCTACCATGTTTTTGTTTTCTTTTATTTTGGCCCCAAAAAAACTTTTGGGCTTTTAAAACCCCCACCTTTTTGTTTTGCGTTTTGCAAAGAAAAGCGTTTAAAAATTTTTTTTCCCAGCGTTGCCACTGGCCCCCGATTTGAAATTTCCACCAAGGGGTGGGGGGGGAACCTTTCTTAGGGGAATTTTTGGGCATTTTTAAGAATCCAAGGCTTTTTTTTCTCCCAACTTTTTTTCAAAAAAAAAAGCCTTCCAAGGGAGTATTCTACCTTGGATTTTAACAAAAAAAGGAGTAAACAACCAAAAAAAAATCCTTTAAAAATTTAAAACCCAAAAAAAAAAAAAAGAGTTTGGTCTTTTTTTTTTCCGGGAAAGGGTTTTTTTAAAAAAACTCTTGTAAAAAAAAAAAAAAAAAAAACCTGGGACCCTTTTTGCCATTGGGGGGGGGGAGGGGCCCTTGGGCGGATCCAGGGGGTTTATTTGTAAAAGGGGTAAAAAACATTTTAAAAAAAAAAAAGGGGGGAACCAGGGGTTTTTGCTTGTTTTGGCACTTTTAAAAAAAAAAAACGGAGCCTTTTTTTTGGGGGGCAAAGCATTATTGGCCCCAAGGTGAACTTTGAAATGAAAATGGTAAAAAACTGGGGCTGGCAAAGGGAATTTTTTTATTTAAAAAAATGGGACCCCCATTTGGGACCCAAAAAAAGGGAACTGTTTTTCTTCCATTTGGTTGGAAAAAATTTTGGGCTGGGGAAACCAACCCAGAATTTTCCAAAAAAATAAAAAAAAATCAAGGAATTCCCAAAAGGTTTTGGGCCAAAAAATTTTCCCTTTTGGGGCTTTAAAAAACAAACCATTTATTTTTAAGGGGGGCCAAAAAAAAAACCCCAACATTTTTTTCACCCACTTTTTGACAAAAAAAAGGCCATTTTTTTGGCCGGGGGGGGGGGGGAAAAGTTTTGTTTTTTCAAGGTTTCACAGGGGGCCTGGGGAGCCCAACCAAGGGGCAAAGGCGGGGACCTCTGTTTTTGGCATTGTTCTAAAGAAAACAAAATTGGGGATTAGGGTGGTTTTTGGTTGGGTTGGGCCCCGGGTTTTTTTTTTTTTTGGGGGGAAAAAAAAACCAGGCTTTAAACTTTTTAAAAAAAAAAAAGGGGAAAAAAAAAAAAAAACCCTCTGGGTTTAAAAAGGAAAAAAAATTTTTTGAGTGTTAATTATTTTTTTTTTTAGTGTTTTTTTAAAAAATTTTTTCCCCCTTTTCCTCTTTTCTTTTTTTTTCCCCCCTCCTTTCCCTTTCGGGTTTGGGGTTGTTTTTGTTGAGGAAGAAGTTTTTTTTTTTCAGACACTAAAAAAAAATATACTTTCAAAAAAAAATTTTTCTTTTTTACAAAAAAAAGGGGAAGGGTTTCTTAAAAAGGGGGGGTTCAGCTGTTCAACGGCCAACCCCCACAAAAAACCCCAACCATCATTTTCTTTTTTTCTTAGGACAAGCACCCAAACAAAGGGGAAAGTTCCGCCTTTTTGCCTTTTGGGGGGTGGGGTTTCAAGCCCTGAAACACTTTTGGGGGAAACACCTCCCGCAAATTTTGGGCTTGTTAAAAAAAGGGGTTTGTTTTTTTTGGGGAATTTTTGGGTGGGTTTTTTGGGGGCCTTTTAAAATTAATTTTTTTTTTGTTTGTCAAAAAAAAAAAGCCAAAGGGGAATTGGGCAACTTTTTTGAAAAATCCTGATTTTAATTTTTTCCTGGGATCCTGTTGGGGGGGGTCCCCCCAAAAAAAAAAAAAAGCCCCAATTTTTTTTCCCCCCAAAACAAAAATTTTTGGAAAGGAAAAACAAAGTTTTCCCCCCCTTTTTGGTCAGTTTGGTTCATTTTATAAAAAATCTTTGGGCAGGGGCCCAAAAAAAAAGGGGTTTACCCAAATTTTCCAATTTTCAGTTTCCCTTTTTTTTTTTTTTTTGGCATTTTTTTTTGGCTGCCAAAGCTCGGGGTTTTTTTTAAGTTTTGCCACCCAGGGGCAAAAAAAAAAACCCCCCTGGGGGTTTCTTATGTTTTACCTTAACAATTAAAACCCTTGAATTTTCCCAAAGGGGGGGGGGGGGGGCCTTCCCAAAATGCAGGGGGTCCAAAAGGTTTAACCAGAATTTTTAAAAAACTTCGGGAAAAAAAAAAAAAAGGGGACCCCCCACCTTTTTTCTGGTTTAAATTTAAAAGAATTTGGTTTTTACCCCCTCTGTAAAAATTCCCAGTAAAGATTACTCTTGAGCGGCTTTTGGGAGTGGGGAGAAAAACAAAAAAAAAAAGGGGGGGGGGCTGAAAAAAAAATCTATGGGGGCCATTCCCCCTTAGGAGGGGTTTTTCCCCCAAACCTTTGTCGGGGGGAAAATTCCAATGGGGGGGGGGGGGGGGCCAAAAGTTTTTTGGGCACGGGGGCTTTGGGGGATAAAAAAAAATCTTCCCTTTGCAAAAAACGGGGAACCAGTTGGGTAAAAAAAAAAAAAAAAAAGCAAAAGTGGAATAAAAAGAAAACCCCAACACATTGGTAAGAACATTCCCCTTTGGGACTAAGTCCTTTTTTTTTTTTTTTACCCCCCCCCCACTTGTTAGGGGGGGGAAAAAAGTTAATTTTTTTTTTAAAAAAAAAACTCAAAAGGGGGGGGAAAATTGTTTTGGAAAAAAAAAAACCCAGGGAAATTTTACAAAAAATTTGGGGGGGAATTTTTAAAAAGGGTCTTAACCACCAAAAAAAAATTTTTTTTTTTTAAAAAGGTTTAAGGGGGAAAAAACCCATTTTTTGGATTTTTAAAAAAAAAAAACCCAAGCTTTTTAGTTTAAAAAAAATTTAATTTTAAAAATTGTTTGTAAAAAAATAAAGGGGACCTGGTTTACCTTTTTTTGTAATTTTTTTTTTTAAGCCGGGCCTTTCTTTAAAAGGTCTCCGGGGGACCCAACTTTCAAAAAGCGTTTTACCCCCACTAACCATTTCTGCACAATTTTTTCACAAACTTTTTTTCCAACCAAACATTTCAACTTTTTTCAAGGTGATTTTGGCAAAAAAATTTTTTTTTCCCTTGGGGAAAAAACAGAAAAAAAAAAAAAAAACATCAAATTCAATTTTCACCCAAACTTTTTTTGGGGGGGACACAAAATTTGGGGTTCAGTATCTTGCTCACAGGATACTTCGACATTGCAGCGGGGGAGCCGGGTATCGGAGCTAACACCTTCCAATTAGTGTCACGACCCGCTCACTTTGAGTCCTAATTGCACTGACTTGTGTGTTCCAAGGAAACCATTCCTGATTAACGTACTTTTACTCGGTATTTTTGTTTTACAGAAAAAATAAAAATTACAAATTAAGTCAGTGTCACTTAAAATTACTGAACCTACTTGGTTTAAGAATAGTTTTTACTTACAAAACTGAGTTGGTTTTACTTTAATGTAATCAGTTTCAAAAGAATTTTGAGCTAAATGAACTTATCTGGTTTTACATTGTCGATTTTCATCCTCTTGCTGATTATTTTTGGATGGGTTCAGATGAATTCAAAAGTTAGACTGCAGAAGAAGACAAACGTACCTTGCGTCCCACTTCATTGTTGTGTAGATTCATGAGGGTCCTGGCATTCTGCTTGATCTCCCGCGCGTCCACAAACACCTTAGAGAAGCCCAGGCCGTAGTGAACGTCCGCAGAGCAGCCGCCCCACTTCCAGCCCTCCTCCTGGTTGTAGAAACCCTGTTTCTCCTTGTCGCAGCCACAGCCGCTCAGGCTCCCCTGGGTGCAGGCCGCGGTGACTGCATGGGCGACCCCAGCAGCGATGATAGCATAGGTGAACGCTGCCTCCTTACTGCCTGCGATAAAGAGGAAAAGACATTTTTAATCACAATTGCTGACAACAGGATTCACTATTTCAGGCAGTGTCAAGCCTCCTTACATACCTGGCATAGCTGCCTCAAACCAAATCATAAAATACACGACCCGAGCCAAGTCCCATTCATTAATCAAGCTCTTTTAAAAGAGATAAACTTCAGGATGACCTGAATCTTGCAGAATGGAAGTAAAGTAATTCTAGGGAAGCAGATCAGTTTTATTGTCTTTATCATGAGTTATGATCCAAGAACCTGAAGAATTCTGACTTATCTGTAAATCTTAGAGTATAATTTCACCAAATCACCAGTCAACAGTCAATCTGCTGCTATATTTGATCGGTAAAGATGTTTTTTGACATCATTCAGCGGGAGATAAAACATGAAATGTTTAGGCATAATTTTTGGCCTTTGTCCCAGTCGCCGTCATGCTGGGATCCATCCTGTGGAGGTGAGTCTGAGAGGCATGCAGAGCCTCCCTATGTGGATGGATTTCCAGTCCATAAATCAGAGTGCTTCAGGTCAACTGCGTTTTTTAATTAAAACAGGAGATAATTCCAGTTGGAGCACACGTGGAAAGCGTCCTGAAATGACCATAAGTTGAGAAATTGCTCCAATAAAGTTATCATCTTTAACGTTTACGCCGCCATGCAAACCTTTCCGACATTTAAGGTCACGGTTCTCCTTCAAACACTGAAATGTATGTGCAGCTGTGGAGATTTCCTGCCATGCACACGCCTGCTTTTTCTATTAAAAGGACAATCTTAAAGTGCAAAGTAGATGTCTAGTAGAAACGTCAAACACAAGCTTCCTGGCATTTAAATATGTAAACCAACTTATAGCCAGTACCCACCTACTTGAGAGTTACTTCAAGTAGCCAACTTGGTGGGTGGGGAGGATACTTGATCCTAATGCCAAAATACTGTACATTGCTGCATCACTGCCAACAGAAATCCCAAATTGATGTATTCTGTCAGTTATCAGTGTTCCAGTCTGCTGAAACAAAACAATGGATTCAGACAGACTCTACGCAGGGCAGCTGGACCCGAGCAGCGCCTGAGCCAACCTGCTCAGGCTGCTGGAACTCGGCCTGATTCTCATCTAGATTTGGGTAAAATGTGGATTCCTCAATGCTGAAATGAGCTTAAATCTGACAATATGCATTTTCCTTCCTTCCTGAAGCAGCGGTCTAAAATCATTCTACATAAAACATCCCCCTGCCAAAGCTGCAGGACCTGGAGGTAGATTTGTAAACCTAGAAGAAAGTACTTGTCTGAACTTGAAGCTTTTGGGGGGAAAGTATTTTATGAACATACATGAAGGTGGTTCAGCAGAGAGTGGATAAAGAGCATGTAGGTCTCTGTGTTACTAACTAAGAAATATAGAAACAGAAGGTGGAGGGAATGCACACACAGTGTGTATAAATGATCAGACAAAAGATGCCAATGTATCATCTTAACCGTTACAATTACAGATCAGGAAGCTTTACCGCTGTTTATACAGGCCTGCATCATTACAGGTAATAGATCTTTTAACAGCGTTTAAAGCTGCAGTAGGTAACTTAGGTGAAAATAGTGAAACTTTCACTATATCCTCTGACAGTAAGAACATGCACGACGATAATCTGGAAACAATCAGGTTCCTCTGGCTCCTCCTAGTGCTTCTATTAGCATTTGCAAGAATCCACCGGGCCTGAATGAAAACAACCAATCAGTCATGAAAGATAGTTTATTGTTAAATCTCATTCCCGGGGTGTTAAATACCAGTGCTTTGGGTCAAATACTGACGTTTTGGGTCCTAAATCATCAGTATTTGACAACCTGGGAATGAGACTCCATTATGAGACAATCAACTATCTTCCTTGGCTCTGATTGGTTGTTATCTTTAAGGCCCGGTGGATTCTTGCAATGCCATTAGGAGCACCTAGAGGAGCCAGAGGACACGCTGATTTAGTTACAGATCTCATGTTCTACTGTCAGGATATGGTGAAAGTTACAATGAATATGACCAAAAGTTAAATTACCTACTGTAGCTTTAACTGTTTGCATCAAATAATTAAGCTGGGCAGGAGGACTCGTTCAGACTGTACTTGTATTTGTTGCAGCTAATACTACAACCATCTCAGGCAGTATAATATAAGGCCGTCACGTACAATGCAGCAATCAGCCTGAATTAAAGGCTCAAGCAAGACGTGAGCTGTAATCCTTAATGACACTTGGCGTGAAAGATGACACCCAAGCTCTGCGTCTGTCTCTGGGATGACAGTTAAAGGACAAGACAGTGGAGCACCAGCCTGTTAAATATGATTCCCAGCTTATTTCCGCAGTCCCGTCTTTGGAGCAAGCGTCGCCTCGAGCCTTATTCCACACACAGAGAATCAAATCTGTGGCTTATGTTCCCACCAAGAGCAGAGGCAGAGAGTCCAAGCTTCAGACTTACAGATGTTTTGTAAAAGACAAAAAAACAACAACTAAAAAGTCAGAGGTCGAGTACCTCAGAGGAATGCATTTTTGGACAGTTTTTTGACAAACGATGGCAATTTTTGAAACTTTTTATGACTTCCTAAACACTTATGCTTGGACAGTGCAAACAGTAAAGATAACATACAACTTAATACATGAAGAAAACACGCTGTGTTGGCTATCTGTGTGCAAGCAACACACAATTATGGAGCGGCTGGTGTGCTATTATGCGGCAATTTCAAAATGAAACAGCTTATTTCTCAGTAATAACTATTTTATTAGTTAAAAACAATCTTGTGAGCACTGTAACTATGAAGATCAAGGCATGCTGACATGTTGCAACAATGTCTTTTGTGGCAGAAGACCTCAATGAAGTGGAGCATTTAGCAGCTTTCTTGCCTTTAAAATCTACAATAATAATAATATTTCTATAGTAAATTTGATTGATTGTTGATACTCAACTGCACTGTAATAGTATAGACCCCTATAGTAGTTTTAGTCTGCATACAGTGCATGTTATATGAGAATAAAGTGCAATCAAATGACTTTAAACCCATAACAGAACTCCATAAATAAAATAACACAATTAACATAAAACTGCCATGAAAACCCGTGGATTGGCACAAACTAAATTCTAAATTCTAAATTCAGTTAGTAAATATATATGTTTTCCTTGGTGCACAGATCTTTAAGATGAAATCAAAGTGCAACGTACCCACTCTGAGCTCTTTCCCGAACACGGTCCTCTCTCCCAGGGCCGAGCAGTTCCAGCGTCCGTGTCTGAACTGAAACTGACACTCATTGATCCCCATCTGAACTCCCTCTCCGATCACTATGATCGCGTCGGGTCGGCTCTGACAGATAGTCCGCTGTCGGGGGGCCAAGCCGGGGATTTTGTTGCAGATGATGCTCGCTCCCAGTGCAACCACCGACGACAGACCCCTGCGGTGAAGGCGGAAGGTTAAAATGTGGCATTTTCCTATGGAGGTTCTGCAGGTGTTTTCACAAGTGACCTTTCCGGGGAACGTGGACACTGCTCTGACTTATCACACATGTAATAACTGCATGTGGTCCGCTGACATTGTTACAGCAAAATGTATGTAAGGGTAATGAATTTAACTGGAGCCTGCTTCACTTACAGGGAACACACAGCCAGAAAAGACCCCCGTCCTCACTCTGAGGGGCCCTCATTTCTCTACAGCACTCATTATTATCATCAAATCTCCAATTTTCTTAAAATCAGACAGCTTTTTCCTGCTTTCTCTTGAAAATCACCTAAACCACCTGCGGGACATCCCGAAAACTCACCCGATTTTCAGATACACTACTCCAAGGCACAGGAAAAAATGGAAAATCCAGCGCCGTGTCTTCCTACTCATGGTGCTCAGCCCAGCCGGTGTGTTAGCGCTCTGCTGCTGCGACGACCAGCCTTATTCCTCCACCGAGTCCCGCGGGGAGTCCAGGTGCTCCGGGCTGCAGACGGGAATAAAGCTCCGAGGGACAAACCAAAGTTTGCGGGAATACACTCGTCCTGATTTCATTTGGTAGGTGTCCGGTGGTGTGAGCCTGCAGAGCTGGAGCATTGGGGCTGTTGTTTTCAGGCAAAGCAGCTCGGCTCCTCAGTGATCAGTGTGTGTGTGTGTGTGTGTGTGTGTCTGTCTACCTTTTCTATCAGGGCGTGTTCTGCAGAGGATCTGCCTCTGAGCCGCTCACACACTCTCAGCTTGCAGGTACACGCTCAACTCATCTGTCCTTTCTATGTGACACACACAGCTGCTGCTGCTGACCCGGGTACAGCCGAGACCAGGAGCCGCTCAGACCTTCAGCTCTGCGCTCACACACACTCCGTCCTCTCCCGGACTCTGGATCATCCGGGATCACTTCATGTCTGACAGACGGCCGACCACCGGCACGTTTTATTTAGTTTCCAACAATAAACGCCCCTCCCACCGATTCGCTGCTACCCCCTCCCTCCTCCATGTGCATCTGATCACATTACATGATAAAGCAATTAACCGCAACACCAGTGGAAAGTAGTTGAGTACATTTCAAGTACTCTAGTACAATTTTGAGGTACTTGTACTTTGAGTATTTCCATTTTTATCCTACTTTATACTTCTACTCCACTACAGCTTACCTACAGTTTCCATACAAACACAGCATCATATAAAATATACTGCACTGTACAGCAGGGGCGGATCTACAGAGATATTCATGGGGTGTCCAGAGGGTGGCATGGAGACTTTAAGTGGTTCCAAATCTTTTTCCTTAAAGGACCTCCTTTTCTCTCATTTAATAACCTGACCACTCCTGACTCAGTGACATATTTTATGGATATTTCATATTATATTCAAAATTGTACAATGAACCTAAACATCGAACTCAGTAACTGCAAGGAGTTTGTGTGAAACAAGTGTTTTAGAAGAATTTTGAGCAGATTATTTCCTGTTTAGGTAACTTTTTATACAATTCTCTGTCTGTATTATGTATTTTTTAATCATAGCATTTAACAATCATACAGACTTAATAGGCATCTTTACTGACAAATTCAGTGTTTTCTTGTCTCTGACTTATTTAGACAATTTACATTTACTTTTCTTCAAAGAAGTGAACCAAATGCTGAGATATGTATAGGTCTACTGTCTATATTTTTTAAGTTTTCTAGCACGCCTTAAAATCAAAAAGGCCTTGCAACCCCCATGAAGCTTTGGCAACCCCTAGATTTTTCATTCACAGATCATTTTGTACTTGGTCATAACAGAGCCTAACATTTTAGTTTACCATGTTATTTTCAAAATAAATCTAAATGAATGTGTTCAATTTGACTGCATTTGACATTAACTGGCTGCCACCCCTCTAGATCTGCCCCTGCTGTATACATAAAAATGCCCCATGCTATAACTGCAGCTGTGGCTCAAAGGTAGAGCGGGTCATCCACTTATCGGAAGGTTGGCGGTGTATGAATGATGAGTGTCCATTCTGATGAGCAGTTGGCATCAGTGTATGAATGTGTGGGAATGAGGTGAGTGTGGCATGTAGTGTACAGCACACTCACCACTGAGGTGGTCGAAAGGAAGGGAAGCGATATATAAGTACAGTCCATTTACCATAATAAAAAAGTATACTATAGGCTGTGTTTCTTCATTCCAGGTTGGGTGAACCCACTAAGGGTCATCAAGTAGTATATTAACTATATATATATATATATATATTATATATATTTGACAACCAAAGGTCTTCACAAAACTATTTTTTAGAGTTTAGATTTATATTAGTTAAAAGTTTTAAAGACGCTGAACAAAACTAAAATGCATTTGTCAAAAAAGAACCCTATTATGTATGTATGATTGTAAAAAAAAAAAAAAAAAACATAATTTCTCTTCACAGATTATTGATAAAAATATCATTCAATTCAATTATATTTGTATTAGCGCCATTCATAACAGAAAGTTATCTCAGGACACTTTTCAAATAGACGCAGCGTCTCAGACCGAATCCTTTGGTAACATTTTAAGAGAACCCAACAGTACCAACCATGAGCAAGCACAACGTCCTGCATTATTGTGTTCACCTGTTTGGGTTCATGTACACTTTATCAAGCTGTTCTCTACTGTTACTGTTAAGCATTAAATAGAATATGAAATATGTCACTTTTGTCAGTTCACTGAAGTGATAGAAAAGGAGATCCCTGTAAAAGAAAAATGTTAGGAACACTGTAAGCACATTATAAATGTATACTGTATGTAATGTAATGTTATGTATTATATTACATGTCTACTTAGCAAGCACCAGATACAAATAATACTCAAATGATTTAGTACTAAAAAATAAATAATAGGGAGCTTCTGCTAGTAGACATCTTTTCACAGCACCTTTCACATGAAAATAGTAGGGTAACAGCCAGGTTTACGATAATAACTAATCAAAGAGAGTCAGTTGAGCTATTGTTGCAGCTGGCTTGACTTGGAAAAGGCTCTGCTACACTAAATGAAACTAACTTGGTCAAAATGCTGCTGTGGAAAAAGGTCTATGAGTACTGCTTTTATATTTCAGACGATTTTGTTAGATAACTGATTATTATTAATAGATTTATTATTATTTTTAGTACTTATATTATATAAGTCCCTTACAGTCAGAAATCAGTGTTTCTCACCTGCTCCCTACAGGTGTGCGTTTGGATATGCTGTCTGGTGCAGAAGTTTGATCTTAGAAGGATGTTTTCACATTCATCTGCTGACAGTGAAAGTTTCTCTGTGCTCATTATCAATCCTGATTTTTAGAGGGAGGGGCCTAACCTGCAGATTTGTGACATCGACCAAATAGTTAGCAGTCCTGGTCCAGTATGTAACTTGTACAGTGTGATGTAGAAACTTGAAGCCACCAGTGCACACTTAAATTTATAAATTCTGGACTTTTAATGAAGGAGGAGTGGATGAAAAGAACTTCAGAAATAATTGTTCAAAGCAGGGCAATTTAAGTAAAGTTATATAGTATTATATGATTAACAATTTTATTATAGATTTATTCAATAATAACACTTTATTTGGACAGTCTACCTACAGATCGTTAAGAGTATTTGTAACACTAGTACTACTTGAGATTCTATTCGTTTTCTGATGACCCCACTGTGGTTATGGTTTGGTTACCTGCAGGCACAAAAAAACATCTTTACATCTGTGAGGGCATGTGCATTAACTGTCACATAATCTATAGATAATCTGATAAACATCCACAGACAGAGCAAAACAGCTGAAACATTACAAATACTCTCTAAATTATCTGTAGGCGGTCTATAGTGGTACCAATAATTTAATTTGTAGTGTTGCTACAAATTTAATTACGAGTACTTCTTCCACCACTGACAGATCCACATCTTAGTTATTTTTCATCAATACTTCTAACGAGCTGTGTACAAAATCATCCACATAAAGACTTTTAAAGTAAAAAAAGTTAATAATATTAATATGTATTCAAAATATTGAAAGCATGCAAAGGGTTGGGGGTTGATTTTTGGTCATAAAATGTTGTTTTTGTATAATCATAGGACAGTAGGTCAGGCCCAAAAGGAATAATAACAGCAGCAACTATTAGTCAGGATCAGAGCACACTTTCTCTTCACTGTAAAACCAGATAAGTTAATTTAACTGATTACATCTCAAATCTAAAATTAAAAAAGTAAAACCAGCTCAATTTTGTAACTAAAAAACCTTTTTGATCAAATTGCTTCAGTTATTTTAAGTGACACTGACTTCATTTTGTAATTGTCATTTGTATTGTGAGAACAAAATACCCAGTAAAAAGTACTTCATCAGGAATGTTTTATAAAACTAGTGTCACTTATTTTAAAAGGAATCTTTTTAACCTAAAAAAATGAGTTTGTGTTTCAACACTGAGTTAAAATAGTTCAGTTAATTAGTGTTCAGTGATTCAGACTTTGTATCTTGCACACTGCAATATCATTATACATTATGTCACACTGCTACATTACACATTGCTGCCAACTATAGAGCTCTTCACTCATTCATTTAAAATAATGTTCATATTGTCTCGTTTTATCTTTATGTATATTCTCTACGTTTATTGTAATGCACCGACTTACCTTGGCAAATTCCTTGTATGTGAAAACTTTCTGATTCACGGTGGTCTTCAGTGAAGATGGTTTGAGCTGAAGGACTGTAACACCACCTGCTGACCAACCTGTGTAACTACTACCATCCTGATCAAAAGTGTTGCCTCCAAGTTCCCACCAACTGCAGTGAACACTGTACGGAGACCCAGAGGGACCTACCTGTGCTGGGTTAGGACCTGCCTGACTAGACCTCTTACTCAGGACCAAGTGGGTGTGTACACACTGAGTTTGATTGACATCTGTCATTTTCCACTTAGTTCTGTTACATCTGACAGGGTGACACAAACATGCTATTGTTACAAGTAGAGAACAGAGGTCAGCCAGAATAACACTTTAATCCTCTGTACTCCCACTAACACTAACACCAACTTTTATTCTTGGGGGTCGTGACTCAAAGGTTGAGAAGTTCTGCTCTAAAGTGACATTATTTGGTAGTAATCATGGGGAAATAGAAATTTCCTTCCAAAGAACTATTCAAACCCAGGTTATTAATTAATAACTGGAAACATGTAGGCAAAATTAAAAAATAAACATCAACAGAGGAGCAAACTACAGGAAATGACACGCCCCCTTTGGTTTCTGTTGGGAACCAGCTTTCTGGGTTCCCAACCAGTTTCTTTTTGGTCGAAACGCTCAGAAAGGTTCCAAACTAGGCCGGTTCACTGTTGGTGGAAGAGGCTGGGAGAGCTCTCTCTGAAGATCGGATTAGGGATGAAAGGTAGATTCCAATCAGTTCAGTTTGCTGATGTTCATCATTTGTAGTTTATGGACACCTGGAAAGCGTTCCCACTCTTTAAAAGAAATCATTTTCCAGTCATTGTTGGCAGTACAGAAAAGCACTTCCTCACAGCGTGGTCAGCATTTACAGGACACTCCGCATTACATCACTTTTGGGATTTGTCCACTCCTGCCTAACATACAATTTAACATTTTCAGGACAACTTAGTTCATGTTTAAGGATTTTTGGTCATGTCAATCAATTTCCAGATGTTTCCATGAGTGGAAAACCAGTGTTTTCATTTTCAGGTTGTTGAGATACTCCAGGGCACGGGAACCTGCTGAGGGGAAGAAAGGCTGAGAGAGGATTTCATATCCCACAGCACTATTGTTAACAACAACAACAAACACTTCTGACTCTTCAAATGTTCCTTTATTTCTGCACACAAAGCCCATCAAACACTGTGCATTAGAACTCTCATCATTTATTATTACTGACTGATCATTTATCACATATACATTGTGCATTTATTCCAAAAACCCTGAAGATATACCACTCCTCAGGGAAGGCAATAGATTGTATAGTTATCTCCAGAACAGGGCAAAATCACTACCCTACAACTATACAATCTACTACCTCACACTGTGTGAGCAGCTGTGATAAAACATCTGGATCCATGCAAACGCTGATGTCAGAAAACTGGCCTTCAGAGGGGGCGGAGGCCGAGATGTGCATCTGGCACTTTGAGAAAGACAGTAGGTTGAATAGTTATCTCCCAGTGTGGGTGTGACCCTAAAACTATACAACCTACTACCTCAGCCCACAGTGCAAACTCAGCGGGTTCCTGCAGCGCCAGAAGAAGACCGGGCCACCGAGGAAAACTGGAGTTCAGATCTTCTGACAGCTGAGAGCTCGCACTGTGAAGGAAAAGTAAGGGGGGTGAGAAGTTCCATTCTACATCAGTTCTATTGTAACAGAGGCAGTTCAACAGGTCTGAACCCAGCAGGGTATTTCAACTGACCACATCAGTTCACCTGGACTGGAACAATACAGCTCAACGGAGTCAACGCACTTCCTTCTGCGTCCAGGTGATCAGTTTGACAGCAGATGCAATCACAGTGTGTAGCGTTTTATTATCAGGGCTACATTATGAGCACTGGCTGGCACTACTATCAAAAACTCAGATGATGTCTACGTTCACACTGCGGTCAGAAGTGACCAAAGGCTATTGTTTTTGGGCTCGTTCCACGTGTGGTCCTGAATCAGAGAAAAGGGCTTCTTGTTTGTAATGCGACATCACTGTAAATAGTCATATTGGAAGAGAGACAACTTTTGTGTCAATCTAGATCCACATTGGTCACTTGGAGAATACAAAGCATTTGACATCCTGAAATTTAGGATGAACAGTCTGAAGCCATCAGGACCCCGCCACAAAACGCCTCCCTACAGCCGTAGCAGCAACCGCTCCACAAAACAAGAATCTTTAAAAATCTCTCTCCTTCTTCTCGTCCGCTTGAAACCGGAAACATCAGTGGCCTCCATGTTGACTGGCGTACAACGGCATGCTGCGTCTGACGTCACATGACGTGTTACTAGGACGAGACCTGAAAACGGATTCAAGACTCACATTTTAATGACAGTCTTCATCATCTGTGACCAACCAAGAAACGGAGTGCATTTGTCCCTGGAAGACCAAAGGGCTTCAGTCAAAGCTCTCAGTCAGAGAGGTGTTAAACCTCAAACACTGTCACAGTGGACGCAGTGGACGCAGTGGACGCAGTGGAGGAGCCGCGGTCCAACCTCACGCTGCCCTCTGCTAACTATCACTCTTCTCCTCTCCCAGCACACTCACTTCCATTCTCTATTTGTAAACTATAGTGCACTGTGTACAATGACACAGCTGAAACACGGATTGGACTAACAAAGTGTCAGTACACTGGGGATCTTGTCGACATGAATCATCCAGTGTGTGTGGGCAGCCCTGCACGTCACTGTACTCAACTGTGACCCGTTCACACACAGTTCTACAGCTCTACTGTAACGTGAGCCAACACCAACTGAGCCCTGCACACAGATTAACAGGAGGGCACAGATGGTGACTTCCAGGAGGTGGCAGATACTCGTGTACAGTACAAGACAACAGTACAAGTGTTGTTCCACACCACTAACAGTCACTGTTGGGCAACTCAGCACAATCGTATCTACAGTGCCCTCACTGGACCAAAAAAACAGAAAAAGTACACTACCTATACGATGGAGGTCAATCTGAGAAACCAGTGTCCATTTGAAGTTCAGGACCACGGACAGCAGCTGCCGGCGCCGCATCATTACGCTGCACATCCATAAACAGCGCTCGCCAACGTCTGAGCTCCACATTACACCTGTATGAAATACAGCAGGCTTTTGTTATTTATGCTTTTCCACATTGGACTGAACCGAGTATCTCTGGGTGATGAAATGAAAGGGAGCACTTCTGTCCTGCTTCATGTCTGTTGACCCACTCTGAAGCGTAACACAAAGCACGTACCAACTGTTGTTTAAATATGCACACAGGTTTATGTTAGCGCTGTGATCTGGCCCCACCCGAGCCCAACTCTGTTCTGTGCGAGCCCCAAACAAGTATGAACCACAGCAGCTATTTTGGCCACCAGCCCGACCCAAAGCCACAGTTCTACTCAAGCTAATAACTCAATAAATACATGTGCATATATTGTTGTTCATGTTATTATCAGCTCATATACAAAACTCATTTTCCAGGACAACAAAGATTTTTTTTTTTTTTAATTTCCAGTTAGTTTCCATGACTGGAACTCTAGTCTCTAAATGTCCACCATGGAGGACACTTCAGGACGTCACCTTGGGCTCTGGGACACAGTGATGATTTATCTCCATCTTCTGACATTTGGAACAAATAACTGATCCATGAATTGAGAAGATGACCGACAGATTTTTAACAGTGCAACAATCAGCCAGTAGCATTCAACCAGAGAAACAAACCTGCTCCAGGATTCACCTCTACCAAACCCAAATCAGAGGACACTTCCAGCAGGTAGGCCAGCTTCCATAATGTTAGCTGCCTTCCTGCACCCATAGCCCCTGCACCCATACCCCCTGCACCCATACCCCCTGCAGCCTCACTGCAAACACGGATGTTACTCCGTCTCCATTTGAAAGGACTCAAACCTGCCACTCCACAAACTGTCTGTCCATTGCTGTCCCGGGAAAATGCGAAACACTCGTTTTCATACAAGGCTGCTTTGTTATGTTGCTAACTCGCCATGATTTTAACTCAGGGCTTCCGACGCAATGACTCAACGTTAAAGAGAAATGGGGACCAGACCGACACTCCTTCAACAGGCAATGGAAGCTAACAAGCTAGCTAGTTCTAATAATTAGCCAACGTGACTGGGCATTTAAGAACTACAACGCCTTATCCGGACGTTTCCACCGACGGTGAAGTCCTGCTGAACGTAGCCAATGGAGTCATCTCTGAAGTGCTCCGGTCGTTTCAGCGCACCAACAGTTAACCACTCCTTACTGCTAGCTAACCCTACCGAGCTAAGCACACTGCTCACAGCTAGCTAGCAGCACGTTCCAGCATGGTTGTCCAGAAAAGCAGACGTCGGATAAAAGTACAGCAGCTGGCTCTCCCGCCACAAAACAACCCCAGCTGCTATAGCGAAGGCTTTTACCGAGCACAAGCCTGGGCATTGAGGTGTATCTGTTTCAAATGTGTGGTTAATACAGTCTACCCACCTGTCTGCCATGTCGAAACGCTCCTCCACCCTCTCACTGCTTCTTCATCGCGGTTTGTTGGCGCAGCTTAAATTAGCCATTACTTCCCCCTGCTGTTCGGAGTGTGCACTACAGCGAGAACTCAAACCACACACACTGTGTACGGGAGTGACGCTCATTCTGTATGGAAGCCCATTTCCGCCAATGTGACAAAAAAGTTTCTGTAAGTCATTATAATATACTAAGTATCTTAACATCTCAAAATAATGACTTTGTGGTACCAAGTCAAATTATTGAGAAACCTCATTATTTTGAGATAATACTGGTAAGTCTATCAAATATTTTGATAAAATTCCTCCCTTTCCTGGTCAAGATACACCAGTTATAATTCAGATGACATGGAAAACAAACATCACACACACAAGGAAAGGACTAAAACCAGCAAACAAGGCAGTTGCATTTATCAGTTACATGGAGTTTTAATATGGCTTTAAATTCCTCCAATGGGACTAGATCATTAAGCTGCAGTATTTTTTGCCAGTCCAGGGAGCAAAATAAGAGAAAGCTTTTTCCCCATGTCAGTAAAAACCCTTGGAACCTAGTAAGAGCGCCACCTGGTGGAACAAAGCTGCAGACTGCTGGAGTTCTGCATCAGGAGATTATATAAATATGAGGTCTTGTACACAAAAATATACATTCTTTGAATCCAAAAACGATTTGTTTGAGATTGGGACTGCAACTAATTATTTAAATTATTTTCTAGATTAATTCATTTGGACTATAAAATGTCAGAGCAAAGTGAAAAACAGGTTGTTGTATCTTTACATGTCAGTCAAAAACCAAAAGATATTCAGTTCAATATGACATAAAACAGAGACAAGCAGGAAAAATTACTTTGACGATGAATCAGTTATCAAAATAGTAATCGATTACTGCAGAGGTTCCCAAACCTTTTCATGCCAAGACCCATAACAGCAATAGCCTATGGCCACAGCCCCCCTTTTGCAATATGTTTTTAAAAAGCCATTGACAACACTGCAGCAAATGTAAAAAAATACAAAAACAAAATAACACTTCTGAACTTCCCTGAATTGTTTTGACTGGCAGGGAATTAGGAAAGATGGAAATGGCATAAGATTTGGATATCTTATATGCTATTATACATTATATTTTATAATAATTACCCACAATAATAGAGAAAATTAGAGGATCAGTAATTAGATTTTTCTTTTTAAATTAGTTTTTATAGCTCACCTGCTGGTGTCCCATGTATCAACGCTGAGTCCTTGCTGCAGTGGCCCAAGGTTCGACTTCGACCTGTGGCCCGTCTCCCCCTTTCCTGTCACTCTTCAGCTGTCACTGTCAGTTAAAGGCAATAGAAGCCCAAAACATATATTTAAAAAAAGGATTTTACTCTAATTTTTATCTTGCACTTAAATTGTCTCATTTATTAAGTGAGCACACATTCTGTTAGGAGATTGGCTCTCCGAATTACAACTGCTCTCATTTATAAAGTATTTCAAATGTGGACATTGTTTTACTGAGAGAAAAAAACTCAATGCTTACATTGTGTTTCATTTATAAAGTATTTCAAATGTGTACTGTTCTACTGATGATGAAGTAGTGATTTATCAAATGTATATCTCT